TTCCGTACCACTCTCGCAGTCTTTGCCACTGTATTGGGGACAGCAGGTGCAGCGCATTTATCTATTCGACGAGCTATATCTGACTGCGCGAAGCAATCCATGGGCTGGGTTGGCAAAATTCGAGTAGATAGCCTGACGTACTCCTGGATGGGGTCGAACGAGACCACGGCCTCCAGTGTTAGCGTGGTAGACGTGCAGATTACTGCCACACGGTCCATTTTCATCATTCACGCAGGACCCATGAACCTGACCGTCACCTTCCTTTCTCCAATCGAGGTGAGCGCGTGCTTCTCTACTCAAATATGACTCTGAACCTCATCATACTGCGTCCTTGCGACTGTCAGCCCTCGGACTGGGTCTTACAGTCATTACCGTTCTCTTATGTGTCTGTCGACGCGAGCTCCCTGGATGGGAAAACGCACGACGTACAGCTATACTCGGACATCACCTCAGGTACGCTTTCCCGAGTACCACGCGTATACAACCTCATCATCCTGGCGTCTTCAGATTGGGTCTCCGGCAGTCGAGTAGAAAGTATTCAGTGGAGTCACACAGATGCGGCCGGATATACGTATCACCAAGTGAACCTCACAGACCCTCAACCGTTCGCAGAAGAGAATACTCAGGCGCGAGATGGCGTAGCGTACTACGCTATGGGAGCTGTACGCCCGTCACACAATCTTCGTCTTACTATTACTGAAACAGGCTCTGCTAGAGGCCAGGCCTGACATGGCAAATCGGCAACAATGCGACCGTGCGAGGCCAGTTCGATAGCTCAGGGGTATTGACCAACGTCTCGAGCACACCTGAGTTTGGGAACATACAGGTGTAGGTGGTCTAATAAACTCCTTCAAAAGAACGTTGATACCTATTGGAATCAGCAATCATGCAGCGTTTGCCATCGCTGTCGACTTGGGGCAGATTCAGTCGACATCGACATCAATTACATGGATGGTCGGATTTGTGCGGAATCCAACCATCATGTACACTGCTCCCGATGGTTCGACAGAGCCGCTGAGCCCTTATTTCGTCACGAAATACGGCAATGATATCGGAAGCGCGGTAAGTGCCAGGGTATTCATGTCATCTATGACGACGCATGTTCAACAGTCTGCAGATTAGAGACCTTACCTCCGGGTTCGGCGACACTGTGCAGAGAGCGGTCGCATTTGACAACGCAGTTATCGCGAACGCTTCGCAGATCTCGCAGAACTACAGCGAGGTCGTCTCTCTGGCGGCCCGTCAAACTATGGCATCTCTGGATCTCACTGTTTCGCTCGACTCGGACGGCAACGCAAATGCCTCTGACGTGAGGATCTTCATGAAAGACATAGGTGCTGGCACTATACTGAACCCTCCGACACAGTGCGTATCGTTCGGACCAATCTTAATCGTCCTGACTAATTGCATGGGGTCGCAGGCGTGTCAACCCTGTAGAGCGGCATCAGGAAAAAACCAGATGTCGATGTAGGCCTATGTCAGCTTTGTAGACACCGTAGGGGTCGTAGACAAGTCCCTGTTACCGGGCACACGTAGGCGCCTGCAGAGCTACATAGCCGTTCGGTAGCCATGCGGTAGATCCTGTAGCCCATTACTTGTGCACTCAAATACCGCACGCACACACACACAGACATCACAGACTATCATGTACCATTGTATAGATATATTGACAAATGTACAGCAATATATATTAGCCACAACGGCGCCCAAGAACTCCTCAGACACGACAACCATGTGTCGACGACGAGCTCGGGGGACTCGGGCTACTTGAGGCGGAGGACCAGTGCATGCTCTAACGGCTGGCGAGGACCCACACAGCAGGCATGATGCACCCGGCGTACTGCTGCGAGGCCGCCGTCATCGAGGCCGCCATGGAGGAGACCGCTATCGCACACAAGCTGAAAGACATCCGTAACGTGGCGTCGCACGCCCCTGCCCTTGCGCGGTGTTAAAGCTCTAGGAGAAGACGGAGAAGGAGAAGACGCGCCAGAGGGAGTTGCAGGAGGAGAGACGCAGCCAGGATGCAGAGGAGGCCAAGAGGCGGCGGCGCGGAGGTGGCCAAGGTGCAGATCGAACATATCCAGAAGATGAAGTGCCATCGGTTTCAAGATAGGATGGCTCAGTAGTACCAGGAGGGCCGAGATGCGTCTTCAGTGGCAGGTGTTACAGCGCGAGCACAAGCAGCAGATGAGGGAGGAGCAGGTGAAGGCAGCAAGGGACGCAGAGGAAGTGGTAGGCGCAGGAGGAGCTGGAGACGAGCAGTGCAATACCGAAGAGCGGGTCAACCAGACTAGACTCGACAAGGCCATTCCGAGAGTGAGAAACCCAGAGAAACCCGAGTCCAGACAGCCAGCAGACAGGGAGAGCAAGATGGGGAGAGGAGAGAGGCGACATGGCAAGAGCGACGTGGCATTTTTCATCACCATCATGGGCGCTCGGCTATATCCGGCTCGAAGGCGCCCGCTCACCTCCTGTGAAGCCGCTACTTCGAAGGGTTATCAGGCATTCTCTACGCAACATACAGACTTCGAATAATCATCACTGTAAGATACCCACACTATAAATCTATCTGTGCATTTTTCATGTGCAAATCATATTTACTATTTCTACCAGGGATACATCGTTCAATGTAAAAGCTGGCGTGCGCTATGTAGGCTACAGAGACAACATAGCCACCTGCAGAGCGCTGTAGGAATTGCTTTTTCCTGATGGGCTGTATGCGGCAATGCCGATGTTCATTTCTTTGAACGCGTCTCTCCTTGGCTCGTTACTTTCACCTCTTCTGGATGCACAAGACGATCTCTCAGGGCTGCCGTACGCTATTCAAGATCTAGGTCGATCTTCGCATATTCTCCGATCTTCGTTTGACGCTGACCCGTGATCATTCGCGCAGGATTGGCATACCCTACTGCAGCCGCAAAGTTCACTCCTCATACAGAATGCATCGAACGTAAGTAGCATTTCGCAATTCCGGTGAGCCCGGCTGACGACGACCGCACTAGAGACTGGTAACATGTTAATTATGGCATACGCGCATGCGCGGTTTTCCGGCGACGGCTCGCTCATCCACCAGCATGTCAGTGTCCCGGCGTCTTAATTTCAGAACATCACCTTACCAATACGGCGTGTAGTACAATCTCACCAAGCGTTGGGCCGACTACCTGGTCGCTAACGCGCTGACTCCGAACGAACAGTACGTGTTCCCGGGTATAAGCAGCATTTCGGCTGATCCCTTTTTAGGGTTTCTGCAGACGAGGGCAGTGCAAATCAGACTAACCTCGCACTGAAGGGTATCGTCGGCATAAAGACCATGGCAGAGATTAGCCGTGCGTTGGGTCAGCAGTTCGATGCTCAGCAATACGATGTGCGTGGTCCACATTTATATATATAGCATGCACACCGTCAGACTAACAACACTGGCATGTAGGTCCACGCAGCTGCGCTCATAGAATCCTGGCAGTCCCTCGCACTCTCCACGAACAAAACTGCGCACGTGCGGGGGATATATGCTGACGCGCAGTCGTGGGTGTTGCTGTATAACTTGTACGCGGATCGTTTGTTGGGGACAGGTCTGCTCAGCACGTCGGTGAGCTCTGCTATATCAAACCCCCAGGATTGTGCGGTGCTTACGTTGTGAGAAGATACAGCAGGAACAGACAATATTTTATAAGTCCCTCATAAATCCAGGTGAGCTTTTGTGTGGTCGGACATACCTGTATGGTTTGTGCTGATGCTATTTCAGCATTTCCATACGGAGTCGCAGTTGATAGCGAACTCCAGGATTGGGGGAGTGCTTGTATGCCGTTGTATCTCATCTTCGCTTAAACGTGGACTGACCTCCCGGCAGCATCAATGCTCTTCACTGCAGCCACCGCTCTCGACGACGATGTTCGCGATAGCCTGATTACGGGAGTATGGAATCGTGCGGCTATGACATTGGTACCAGGTCCCTTCCCTGGAGATCACGATGTCTTCTCAGGCCAGATTCTTGACTGCGCAGGAGGGTGAGTCCAAGATGCATCCTGTCCGTGCTTGATCTGATATCATCTCCGCCGACCCGCAGGCCCGCCGCCGGGGCCATGTTCTCTCTCTTATCCCTCAAGTAAGTACCAATCGTCATTTTCCATGGAATGTCACTGATAGTAGCAAACAATAGCGTGCCGAATGTGACTATCGTTGTTCCTCAGCCCGCAGTGACCCAGTCTACATCCCCGCTTCCCAGTGCTAGCCCCAGCCCCAGCCCAGAGAACGACGCGCCAAAGGCTACGACATCCCCGGGCCCCATCGTTGGCGGCGTTATAGGGGGACTCGCATTCCTATCAATCGCAGTAGGAGGCTTCCTTCTCCTGCGAAAACGACGTCACAATAAGCTTCCGGACGGGGAGGGTTCAATGGACATGGTTGAAGAGCAGGAGGGTCTGACCCCGTTCACACTCTTTCCCCGCGAGTCTCCCGTCCTTATCATCGAGCGGTCGAGCGAAGCGAGCGCCTCCAAGTCTCTCGCACCTCTGCAGCCCGATGATTCTGTGGCTGGCCCATCATCACATGAGCCAACGCTCACCGCAGACGCTCCAACCCAAAAGCGACCCCTGCCCGCAAGACCAGGAGGCTTGTCAGGCGCCGCACCATCACCAGAGGGCAACTCCTCGCTGCCCGTTGTCCCCCTTTCCCCTGGGTCTAGGTTCGGTCGAAGTCCGACTGGTGAGATGATGCTACTGCCCAGGGCGGACGTTCTACATATGCAAGCGGAGATGGACGAGCTGAGGGAGGAGATGCGGCAGATCATCGAGGAACGCCTGGAGCCGCCGCCGGAATATACCAGTACATTCGGCTCATGACATGAAACGCGCGAATCTGTTGTATACCCTTGTATACCATGGTTCACTCGATTCCCAGTGCGACAATAATACGTTATGTTAGAGAGTCGTATAGAGTAGTAGCTTTGCAGCCTGTCCTGAGCCCACAAGATTATGGGCCTCTCTGAGGAACTGCTGCCGCACACACTGATGGTGAAACGGTATCATGCTTGCCTTCCACTATCGTCAGTAGCAAGCGGCGTGGGTTCGACTCCCGCTCAGTGTATTTTTGTGCTCTGTCCTCACCGTGCTCGTCGGAAGCACGCGTTATTAACTACCAACTCGCGGATGCACGAGGGCCCAACGGCAGGAGTAGGGAATAAGTATGCATTATATATGTAGAAACCTAACTAAGACGACTTGGCACTAGGAGGACCGTCTACTTCGACCTCCAAAGCATGCACCTCCTCTTTTAACGCCTCCATCTCCGACTTGCGCTTCGCCACTATTTGCTCCAGACCGGAGCAAGCCGTCTCAGGGACGATGGCAACGTGCTCGTCCATCGTGCGAGTCAGCGCGGTCTAGTTGCAACGTAGCACAATAATCCATGAGCATTGTCGCACACAAGCAAGATTCATGGAGACTGACCTTGAGATCCCGGTCGAGACCCTCGCAGACGCGATCCCAGTCTTTCCACCACCGTTTCCGCGCCCTGTCCCATCGCGCAACCGCCCACCGTACGCCAAGTGCCGCACCGAGCATCCCGGCCCCGACTGCGGTCTCCGCGCCCATCCCGACATTAATGAACCCGCCCGCTAGGCCGAGCTCACTCACCCATCCTGCCCAGGCGAACCCAAGCCCGCCGAGGACGCTTCCGCTCATGGTGATGACGGCGCGCTGCGCGGAGGCATGCAGGCGCTCGGTGGGGAACCCGAGCTGACTTTGACGGGCGCGCAGCGGCGAGGTGAGGGCTGCCGCTGTGAGAGTATATGAGGGTGCGGCGACGATGCGGTCGATGCTGTTGTGCAGCACTGGGGAGTGATACGGGGACGCTGGAGGGAAGGAGCGACAGAGCGCGGTGGCAGAGTCTCTGAGCGCGCCCTGCAATGCAGCGAGTCGTCCCGCATGGAACACAAGCTGGTGATGCATAAATAAGCGGTCAGAGTGATTCGTTGGGGGCAAGACATACCTTGCGCTCGAGATCCCTGCACCACGCCCTGTCAACGGCAGCGGTGACGACCTCGCGAATGTCGTCGACTCTCCAGAAGAGCTTGTACCACTGCAGCGCATCCATGGTTAGCTTCACACTTGTCCGCGCCTGCCCGACCGCCTTCGCGATCTCGTCTCCGTCCTTGCCCGGAGTGCCGAACACCTCCAGATGGACCTTCGCTTTCGATTCCTCGACTTGTCCGCGCAGGCTGCTCGTCCCCGTGAGCACCGCGTCAGCCTCGAGGTCCGTGTGTCGCAACACAGTGCGGCATGTCAGCAGGACGTCGTGGATGAGTGCCCGCCCTGTCTGGACGTGTACTGCGACAACTTCGGAGGGCCCGGGCGAAGTGGACCCGTTCCGCAGGGCGCTGGTGATGACGTCTTTGACGGCACGAGTGACGCTGGCGACGTTCGACCCGGTGACGTCGTCTTGATACCGCTGTACAGCGAGGGGCGAAGACGGGCTCCCGCCGAGTTGCTCCAGCCCATGCAACGCGCGAGTAGCGTCTACAAATAGAACTTGGAGGTCGTCATGTAACGCGAGCGCACGGATGTGCGGGGCTTGCGCGGCGGTGGTAGGATGTGTTGGTGAGGGGGAGGAGATAGCAACGATGGTGTGCCTGCGAGACACCGGCAGAGGCGGACTGGTCGATGCAGGGAGGATAGAGGATAGAGGAGTGGTTGCAGGGTTACAAAGTATGATAGGAATGTCCGCAGTAAACAGGGCCTCCGCTGTTTCCGACGCGGAAGAGGGCTTGCACTCAGACACTTCGATAGGCACACCAAAGTGCTGCAGCCATGAAGACTGGACCTGGATGACATCGCCAGCCGCGGACGCGGGACCGTACCTAACCAGGCTGAGTATCCGTCACCGCATCACCGCAAAGGTTGACTCACTGAAGCCTGATAGACCTGGAGCCTTCCAGTTGTGCTTCCCAGCGCGCGCGCAGAGCCTTCTTCTGGTCTTCCGACGAGAAAGGGTCCTCGAGGAGCGCGGTGACCAAGTCGCTCGCACTGGAGTGTTCGTCGACGCCATATACTACCCACGCATTCACAATTCAGCTTCATGATGCAAGAGCTCCTCATAAGATGCAGTTCGCGTCACTCACCGACGATGCGGACTCTATGTTTCTTCTTCTCCGGCGACAGGGACAAATCCTCATGAACCTTGCCGAGAACGCCCTCCCAGAAGCGTAGCGACGCGCGCAGTGGAACACCGCTTGGGCCTGGTCGGGAGGTTGGCAATATTCGGGGGAGCAGGGCGGAGGTCTTGTGCAAGACAGTGAGGGTATGCGCCCGCTGCTCTTCATAGCCCGGCGAGTTTGCCGCCGTTACGGTGGAAAGTGCTGCTCGCCGTACGCCGCAATCCCTCCGACGACCAGCGACTTTGCGCGACGCGCATATTGCAGTCGCGCGCAAATCTGAGCTACGAGGATGTACAGCGGTGCGAAGCAGGCCTGAACCGGAGGCCAGACATGTCGGCATGGATGAGAGTCGCGAGCATAACGAGACGCGCCGGCTGCACGCGCTACTACTCCGACTCGGCCTTCGATCCGCCGCGCGCATCCTACCTCCACACGTTTTCGCGGCCGATATTCAACAGTGCAGCTTCGATTATAAACCGATAATGGTACCCGCAGACAACGATATATAGATACAGACATTACGCGCGGACGCGCCAGTACAGCGAATAAATTATTCCCCCGTGACCACGATTTTTGGCGGAGGCGGAGGCGGGCCTGCCCGACTGCGCGGCTCGTCATCCTCGTCACTCTCCTCCCCGATGTCAAACAGGTCTTCGCGCTCATCCCACACGTCCGCGATCCGCACTGCTTTCTGCGCGCCTGCGCCACGACCGGGCTTCGTACTTGCGGGCGTGCGCGGCGTGTGTGCCTCGTAGTGCAAAGGAAGCAGCTGAGTCGCATCGACGTCCTCGTCTTCCTCGTCCTCTGACAAGACGTCGGTGCCAAGAGGCTGGTAGAGACGAGAAATCTGGTGGATGCTTATGAGCCCAATTAACCGTTTACAGATGCGCGCCGGACCATACCTCTCTGCGGTGTCTGTAGTACCGTTCGAGGTGATACGAGATGTATAAACCACTTGATGAGCCCAGGAGGTTGGCCTTATGCACAACATCAAATCAGCCAAAACAAACGCGCATATGGTAAGGTAAGGCGACTTACAGCGACGTCTCCCACTTGGAATTCTTTGTACTGCGCGCGGTTAATTAGTATTCGTATATCGCTTCCCATGTACAGACAGCATACCGGGAGCAGTGATTGTACAATCTCGCTGATGATGCCTCCGAAGAAGAAACAAGCGATACCAGTGAATATCAAGGGTGCATTCCGCCAGAACCAGATACGCCTGGCCTCCCTGGTTGGTGTAACATTGAGTGTGTTGTTCGTCTCGGAGCATAGAAACGCGACTTACTCCTCTACGTCGAAGATGAAGTAGAAGACCCCCGTAGCGATGTCCATACAAAGAAAGTGGAGTACTTTGTCGTTCAGCGGAAGCGCATGCGAGAAGTTCGTGAAGCCCAGAAGAGCCAGGCTGATCAGAATGAGGAAGGTGAACAGCAGAAACCACTGTGTGAGACCGAGGGTGTCAAAACACTGCGTGCGCCAGTTTAGTAGCGGTCTTACCGGCCTCAGACGTATAGGCATGTCATATTTCGGTATGCGGAAGTGGTGTGAGCGCATGATAGACTTGTTCAGTCTACGGACTGCTTTGCGGGAGCGGCGGGCTGTACGCGTCCATAGTGGATCGGCGTCTTGGTCCGACGAGTCCGGTAGCCTAGGCATCCAAGAAGAAGATTCTAAGTAGCCACCCTAGACAAGAAAGAGACAGAGAGAGTAGTTGAACAGTAGAATACGGAGGCAAGGAGGGAGACTGGGAGTAGGCTGAGGGCTGCTGAGGGAGGAGGCGGTGGCCCAAGGCGCGTGGCTAACCGGGCCCTTCGGGTTCGGGAATCGGGATTACGCATAAGCATTACGCACGTACGCGGTTAACTTAAGTCTATTTCTGATCGTATTCTAACCTCTTTCCGGCGCTTATAAGCCTCCTCTAAACCCGCACGAGCGCAGCTTGTGATTGTCCGCACGAACTCCGTACGGAGAGCCATGATGAACTTAAGAGCAACTTCCGTTCGCTGGGCATTGTTTGTCCGCCTTGTTACACCCCGACGTCCTCTCAAGTACCGCGCCATGTCTTCAGAAGCAACAGGCGTGCTGACCGCTCTCGGCTCATTCTCGACCTGTGAGATTTCGGATGCGTTAATCAAGCTGGGCGCCCCGCACGGCGGACATATCCCCGACATACACCTGCTGTCCCCCGCGGACTCGACAACCCGTCTCTGCGGACCGGCATACACAGTACAAATGGTACTGGGGTCAGACACGTCCGCACCCAAGCTATCTGCGCACTTCGTCGACACCGCCCCCGAGGGCTCTGTCGTGGTGATCAACGCCCCACATCGTACAGTAACATCCCTTCACTCTCCGTAGCCCGCTGCTCACCGCAGGCACGGCTGTTACGCGTACTGCACAGGTGCAAAGAACGCTGTATGGGGTGGCTTGATGACCGCCGGAGCGCAGTCTCGCGGGGCACTCGGGGTGATCATCTCCGGTCGCTGCAGGGACCTTGCTGAGCATCGGGCAGCCTCTTTCCCCGTCTTCGCGAGGGGTCATTCCACGCTTGGCCAGTCGCCGTTCACCCGCCCCTCGGCGGTGAACGTACCCCTCACCATATCCTCCCCGGATGTGTCCGAAGAGGACTTCCCTGCGGTGCAGGTATCCCCGGGAGACTGGATGGTCGCGGACGAAGACGGCGTCGTATGCGTGCCTATAGAGCTGGCGAAAGAAGTCATTGCATTGGCTACAAAGGGGAGAGAAGTAGACGAGAGGTGTATGCAGGATATCAAGGCGGGCAACGGCGTACAGGAGACGTTCAAGAAACACCGAGGAAAGTAAAGAGGGTATATAATGCAATTAGTGTGGCCGACTTCGCTCCTGTCGAAGTGTGAGGACCATTGGCGATACTGCCGTACAAAAGTAACAAGATAAGCTACAATATATA